GATTCCTCCAAGCCCGACAACCAGAGTTCGAGCCCCAAGACCCACAGGGTAGAAGGAGAAATACAAACCCTGCAAGCTGTTCTCTGACAGAACAGGCCAAGACATGCACGTACCTCCTCATCCTTCTCACCTGTACACACGAAACAAAACAAATAAAATGTAACAAAAACGTTTAAGTTCAGTATGGGGCTGGGGAGGGGGAGAGCGGGTGGTGGTGGTGGTGGATATTAAGCTCAGGGACTTGCACATTTCAGCCAAGCTGTCTCTCATTTGGAACAAGGAGAGGCTGGTGTTCTGTGACCTTGTCCGATTCCACACTTTAAATAAATTAGGTGCAGCTGAAATGAGCTTATCAACCACCTCCCTACTGTATTGCCGGCCAAACCCAGATGTTGTTCATGTCCACAAGTGACCTGGAAACCACACCCTCAGCCCCTCACTGGGGGATTCTAGGCAGGGCTCTACCACTGAGCCACACCCAAAAAAAAAGAATGTGGGCGTTCTTTTGCCCCGGTCATAAAAATCTGCTTGATGCTAAATTGAAGAGTTTTGGATCATGGATTTGTCAGAAGAGGTTTCAAAACAGACTAGTATTGACTCTGTCGTTTGGTTATTATTACTCACTCTTATGCAAAGTTACAATGAAAATGAACAAGCTGGACAAAGACAAATGCAAAATGCAAAGGAGCACTAAGAATTATAATAGAGCTAAGCCTAGTACTCAAGCAGATAAAAAGTTCAAAGAAAAGCCTCAAGCTACATGGAATAAAGAGAGTGGTGATCTCATGGCAAGACCCATCCAACTATGTAGCAGGTCTTTCTTTGGACTACCATCTCTCAAATAGCAACACAGAGAGACCTCGTATTAAGTGGGAATGCTTGGCCTTAGTTTAGGCTTGTTCCCAAACAGTTCTTATAACTTAACCTATTCTGCCAGGCAACTTGTGACCTCTTCTCCATACTGTACATCTGACTTCCTCTGTATCTTGCTGGAAAACATTTACCTCTCTTACTTCTTCCCAGAGTTCCTATCACTGCCCAGAAGTCCAGCCTATCAGTTCTTGCCTAGCTATTGGCTGTTCAGCTCTTTATTAAACCAATCAGAAAAATGACTTCATAGTCATAGTGTACAAAAAGATTATGACACAACATTTTGCCCTTTTTTGTTTTAATAAAAAAGATAGATTTTTAACTCTAACACAATAAAACTACATATAATAAGAACAATTATCAGGTAAAAATCACATTCACAATGTCCTGTCTATAACTGGATTCCAGGAGTAGGCTCATTGTTTAGCTATGGGTGTCTGCTTCTCTTCCATCAGCTCCTGGATGAAGGCTCTAGGATGCCATATAAGGTAGTCATCAATCTCATTATCAGGGAAAGGCATTTAAGGTAGCCTCTCCACTATTGTTTAGATTGTTAGTTGGGGTCATCCTTGTAGATCTCTGGACATTTCTCCAGTGCCAAATTTCTCTTTAGACCTGTAATGGCTCCCTCTATTATGGTATCTCTTTTCTTGCTCTCCTGTATTTTCCCCCCAACTCAATATTCCTGCTCCCTCTTATCCTCCTCTCCCCTCCTCTTCCCCCCTTCTCTTTCTCTTAATTCCCTCTCCCCTAACTCCAGGCTCCCAATTTGCTCAAGAGATCTTGTCCCTTTCCCCTTCTCTGAGGGACCATGTGTGTCTCTCTTAGGTTCCTCCTTGCTTCCTAGCTTTTCTGGTGGTGTGGATTGTAGGCTGGTAATCCTGCACTCTATGTCTAATATCCATATATGAGTGAGTAATTAATAAATGGGACCTCCAGAAACTGAGAAGCTTCTGTAAGGCAAAGGACACAGTCAACAAGACAAATGGCAGCCCACAGAATGGGAAAAGATATTCACCAACCCCACAGCTAATGGAGGGCTGATTTCCAAAATAACAAAGAACTCAAGAAGCTCGTCACCAAAATAATGAATAATCCAGTTAAAAATGGGGTATAGAACTAAGCAGAATTCTCAGTAGAGAATTCTCTAAAATGGCTCAAAGATACTTAAGAAAGTGCTCAACATCCCTTAGCCATCAGGGAAATGCAAATGAAGGCAACTCTGAGATACCATCTTGCTTCTGTCAGAATAGCTAAAATCAAAGACACCAACAACAGTTTATGCTGGAGAGGATGTGGAGAGAGGACAACACTCCTCCCTTGCTGGTGGGAGTGCAAGCTTGAACAGCCACTTTGGAAATCAGTACAGAGTTTCCTCATGAAAATGACAATCAGTCTACCACAGGACCTGGCAATCCCCCTCTTAGGCATATACCCAAAACATGCAGATCCATGCAACAAAGACAGCTGTACAACTATGTTCATAGCAGCATTATTTGTAATAGCAAGAACCTAGAAGCAACCTAGCTGCCCCTCAACTGAAGAATGGATAGAGAAAATGTGGTACACTTATGCAATGGTGATGGGAGATGTCATTCTGTATATGTTTTTCTCATACTGGTTAATGGATAAAGCACTGTTGGCCAATAGGAAAGGAAGATAGGAGGGACTAGGAGACAAGGAGGAGAGAGGAAGTAGTTAGGAGGAGTCAAGATGGAGAGACTGGAAAGAACAGAACTGCTGGCCCCGCTCTCCGGTAAGAAGACCACATGGAAAAATGTAGATTAACAGAAATGGGTTAACACTTAAGACAGAGCTAACCGATAAGAAACTAGTACCTGGCCAACATCATTATATCAAATATAGCATCTCTGTGTGTTATTTGGGGCTGGCATGGCGGTGGGACCAGACTCCAGCTGTGGGACAGAGGCTGGGAGACAAACTCAGACCTGGCCAGTAGGTCCAGTTCTGACCATGCCATTGTGCAGATGCAGTTTCCTTACCTTTGCTTCGTCACTGCCTGTGTTTCTGCCCTGACTTCCCCTCAGTGATAGATTTATAAGATGAAATAAACCCTTCCCTCCCCCACCAAGTTGCTTTTGGTTGTGATGTTTATCATAGAAACAGAGAATCAAACTAGAGCACTTGTGTATTTTTCCTGGCGTGTGTCCATAGTAGGAAGGGCAGAGATCTTCAGACCTAGACCATGGATACTGCAGAAGAGGCACACGGAAAGCCCAAGTGTAGATAGGTGGATTTATTGTGTGATATCAATCCACAGTAGCTCTGCACAGCTGAGAGATGACAGGAAGGTCAAAAGCTTCCTTCTGGGATGGCAAACCCTGTCACACTGCAGTCTATAAGGTGTATTGTACCACAGGAGGGGACTAAGACTTGGGCAGGCAACAGAGCCTGTAGTTCAGCTAGACCTCTGCAGTGAGTAACCAAACTATGGGTGGAAGTCCATAGAAGGCGCCTTCCACTCCCCTACCAGAAACTGAGTCCTTCAGCAGGGACAGGTGTTCACTGGGGAGCAGCCCTACCCCCCTTCCTTCAAGAGGCCATCTAAGACAGACCAAAGAGGACAGAGACCCTGGGAAGTGATGTGATTGAGCATCCAAGACTTAGAGGTCCTCCACACTGCAGGACCCCAGCCAAGAGAACAAGAAAGGCTGGCCCTCGCCCTTGAGCAGCAGGGACCCTCTAGAGTATGGTCCACTCACCCTCCCGCTCACCCCACATTCCCATGTCCCCAGGTCACCAAGTCAGACACCACCCTTCCTATATACACACCCCACCTGTGTCCCAGCTCCCCAGTCACCTCCCCTCCTGATCACCCCACACCTTACTTACCTGAGTCCTATGCCTAGCTTGAGGCTATAAACCTCCATACCCCCTAGGCACCCACTGCTGACCTATTGGGCCCAGCTCTGAACAAACTCACATGTAGACTCTTTCCTATATTGACTTCTGACACCTCCAGGGTCAGAAGTCTACTGGCAAATAAATAAATAAATATGTAAAGCAAAAACAAAAACAAAAAACTTCCTCTTGGAGCACTGAACTCCTGCTGTGCACGGCTCAGGACAGCTAAGACTCCTTGCTGACAGCCAGAAGCTCTGGTGGAGACCAGGAGGGGACACATCCGCCCCGGGCATGGGTGACAGGGCACCAGCAAAGCTACCCCTTAGGACCATTGGGATGACACTTTAGACTTTAATGTAGGTCAGGTCACTTTCCTATTGTACAAATAGGGTCAGAAAGCAAATGACAGCCTGAGTGCCTGACAGGCACCCAAGTGCTTTGCAGAGGTACCCAGTCATGGATCAAGTCCCTCCCTCTGGGGGCTGCCCAGCGAGGGGCTCTGCCCACCCCCAACACCATCACAGACCTTTTCCTGTAGCTGACAAACAGCTCAAATGCAGGTGAGTGGCAGATGTGTGTGGCTCCACCTCATACCTGTCTTATTTTAAAGAGAAGGAAAGCCCCACAGGCTCCAGAACTTGAGCAGCTGTTTTGAGGAAAATCAATGGTCTCTGATGTGAGGTGCCTGGCGGTTCGGGGATCAGGGTCTCCACACTCTGTGGCTAGTGTGAGGTTTGAGAGTCAGGGTCCCTGTGGTGTCTGTGGCTGGGGCAAGGTTTTGGATGAGCAGAGAACCACAGTGCTAACTGGAACCACAGTGACTCACTGTTCAACAAAAACCTTCTGTTTGGAGCTTCCCAGGGGCAGCCAGGGAGCTAGAGGAAGCTGAGGGGAAAGGATCAGAGAAGGGTGAGTTTCTGGAAGGTGGGAGACAGTGTGGAGGGAGGGTCCTGTGGGCAGGTGCTGGGCTCCTAGATGGGGAAACACGGAAGGGTACAGGAAGAGTAACCCAGGCCAGAGCTTGGCAGATGGGGTTTGCTCAGAGTACAGGGTGGGTGTGGCTTCCTCGTTCCTTCCTCTGTTCCTTCTGTTTCCTTCTTCTCTTCCCTCTTTACTGGGTCTCACTATGCTAACACAGTCCAGCCTGAAAGATACCATCCTACAAGCATGCCCCATCTAGCTTGGAAGTCTCTCCAAACAGCTGAGTTTCCGGGGCTTGGAGCCCCCTGAGGACCGCAAGTGGCTTTGGGCTGGATTTTTTTAAGGCTCTGGATGTAGGGCTACCTCACTGTGCCTATGCTTACTTCGATACCTGGGGCCAGGGGACCCTGGTCACCGTCTCTTCAGGTAAGCAGCTCATCTGGGGACTGTGGGGTTCCAAGCAACATTGTGGTGAGGGTTTTAGTATAGGAGCAGAGGCAGAACAGAGGCTGTGCTACTGGTACTTTGATGTCTGGGGCCAGGGGACCCTGGTCACCGTCTCCTCAGGTAAGCTGGCTTTCTTTCTGCATCCTCCATTCCAAGTCTGGGAAAGATATTCTCAGGTGTCCCCAGGTTGGGCCATCTGCAGGCTCTGCATAGGTCAGAAGTTGTTCTGTAAGGATGGAGTCTTTGCTCCCAGGATAAGAGGCAGGCAGGCAAAGGTTGCAACCTGCGAGACAGTGACAACCGTAGGAAACAGACCTTTATGTTGTTTGTTTGGATGGAGAGGGGTAGGGGTTTTTGTACACCCACTGAAGGGGCTTGTGACGGTGTGACTACTTTGATTACTGGGGCCAAGGAACCATGGTCACAGTCTCCTCAGGTGAGTCCTTCCAACCTCTCTCTTCTACTCAGCTCAGACGGATTTTATTGTATTTGTGGGGTAAGATGAATGTATCTGGTTTTGGGGTCATGAAGGACTAAGGGACTACCTGGCAGTCAGGAAAGGGTCTTCAAGGGCCATGGCTGACACAGACAGACAGCCTCAGCTCCTAGACTTTACTACAGCCAGGGATCCGTGGGGATCCTGGCCACCCTTGCCGCTGGGGTCCCCTTATCCCCACTGTCTTTGTCCCTCACTGGGCTCTGTGTGAGATGATACTGGGGTTCAGCCAAGGCCATTTATTGTTTGGGAGTTTATCATGGTTGTCACAATGTGATTGGTTTCCCTACTGGGGCCAAGGGACTCTGGTCACTGTCTCTTCAGGTGAGTCTCACCTTCTCCTATTCTAAATGTACTTCAGGGGGGCTTCTGAGAATTCAGGACCAAGATGCCCTATAAATGGGAACTGAGATTCCCATTTGCTCCAAAATTGAGACACAGGGGTCTAGGTCAGGGCTCTCTGCACTCTGGTCTGTGGTGATGATGGGACTGAAGTGTGAGGAAGAATCTGCCAGAACTGAGCCTAGTAGTCTGGGACAGGCTCCCATCTGGATTTGTCAAACTCTGGTGTGAATTAGGGGCTGTAAGTTCATGGTGACAAGTCCATGGTCAGTGGCTGTCTGACTTCTCAGAGGTGAGGCTGGAACAGAGGTCACCTTGAAGACTAAAGAGAGGTCCAGGGACTTCTTCCCAGGCAAGGAATGGAGTGTGGGACAATGACTTAAAAGATTGGTCCTTGTGGGGTGCCAGGAGTCGGCACAGAGCCTGAGTTGCCTGGGGGAGGAGAGTGACTCTAGTCAGGCTCAAGCGGGTTATTTGTGCGGTATCAATGGAAATTTCACCGTTGTGATTACTATGCTATGGACTACTGGGGTCAAGGGACCCAAGTCACCGTCTCCTCAGGTAAGAATGGCCTCTCTGGGCCTTTATTTTTAACCTTCGCATATGGAGTTTTCTGATTTTTGCAGACTAGTTCTGGATATCTGTCCCTGAGGGGACATGGTGGCTGGTGGAGTGAGGCTGGGGAATAAACTACCTAGAGCCTTGAGGATAGTTCTACACCTTTGAAAAACTATTAGAGAAGGATCTGTCTGATGGTATTGGGGGAGATTCTGGATGATGGGGCAAGGGACTTGAGGACCTCATTTGAGTGAGAAGCCATAAAGACCCATGTCTGGAGGGATAATTTGAACTGTGATGGGAGATGTTCGGTTTTTGGAGTCAAAGTGTTGGCTGAGAAATGTCCTTCAGGACCATGTCGGTGTCAGCATTTGTGCGGTGGCAGGCTTGCACAGGTACCGGGAGTGGGGTAGAGCGCTTTCTTTAGATTTGTGAGAAAAGTTCTGCACTTAATTGTTTAAAACTTTGTTGTTGGGAAGAGAACTGTCTGAATGAGTGAACCAAAAGCAAGGAAGGCAGCTAGCTAGCCTTGGTCTTAGAGATAGACAATGAGCTCATCTCAGAAAGACAGCTGTGACCTCAAGGAGTATGGGAAGCCTACAGAAGTCCAGCACTCAAACAAAAAAAAAAAAAAGTGTGCTTATGCTTATGGACTATTAGAAGGTATTGTTTTTAACCTTAACGTGGTCCCTGAGAAAAATAGCTAGAACACTGTGATTTAAAATGTGAGAGATTTTTCAAGTATTCTTTTTTTTTTTAATGCCCAAGTATCAAAAATTCTAGTCACTCAATTTGAAGTCACTTTCGTCTAAAATAGGCGTCCCTGAAAGTTATCTGAGGAAGGGAAACGGGAATCTTTCACACCCTATTCAGAACTGACTTTTAATAATGACAAATTAAGTTTAAACATTTTCAAGAGAATTGGGCAAAGCTGAGATGGAGTCGGAAGATGGCTGGAAGGGCCAGGACTCCTGGTACAGCTGACAGGAAGTAGGGTCCTGTGACAAGGCTATTTTGGGAAGGAAAAATAAAGCCACTAGGTAAATTTCTGGCTGTGGTTTGAAGAGGTAGTTTTGAAATGTCTTGCCCAGCCCCGTAGAACTGAAAGTTCAAACTGAGCAAAACAACACCTGGGTAATTTGCATTTCTAAAATAAGTTGAGGATTCAGCCGAAACCAGAAACATCCTCTTTTAGCCTAAGTCCAATCTTTCAGTTTTCAGCTCGGGAAGTTCTACTTTCCACAAACTTAAGTTTAGCCACTTCTAAAATGTATTCCTTTTCAAAGTTAGACAAATTGAAGGGCTTTAATGTATGTAATTTTTAATGTATTTAGAAAACTTCTTGAAATTACTTTATTATTCTTCCCTCTGATACTTGGTCTCCACTCGGTTCTTTTTCCAACACCCAAAGCATTTATGGTCACTTTGCTCATGGCTTTTTAAGCTAGCTGGTTTTGCCTTTATGATTAAGAAAGACTTTGACTTCATGGTGAACATGGCTCTCTTGGCTCCCTATGTCTTTCTCAAGGCTGCTTTTTAAGTATTCATCTTAAGATGAAGCTTTTTAAAAGTGAATGCAATGATCTGGAATTAATCCAGTTGAGCATGCAGTCTGTGGCTGAGACGACACCCAGGCAGATAGTGCAAAAGAAAAAAAGCATCTAAGCCAGTGTTCTGTTTGAACCCCTGTTGGGCCGGCTCCTTGTTGGAGAACTGGCAAAAGATCTGAGACCCAGTTGCTGCTGGGCAGACCTGGACTTTGGGTCTCCCAGAACCACCCAAACCTGGGTATGCACAGTTGTGGTGGTTTTTGCCACCCATCCACCTGGCTGCTTATGGACCAGTCTCAATGGCTTTGAAGTACCAATTCCACTCAAAGACCCTGGACCTCCCTGAAACCAGGCACCCCAAACGGTAAGCCAGAGGCAGCCACAGCTGTGGCTGCCACACTTAAAGTTTGTGTTTGCTGATTGTTTCTGCTTGAGAAGGACTTAGTCTTTAGTCACTGCTTTAGGAGGAGAAAGAGATATTTGTGCGTCTTCTGAGTGCCATTGTCTGGGTGGCTCACATTTAGCTTCTCTTTTTAAAACCTGTAAAAGGAAAAGGTTGCCTGTTAACCATTGATTATGGGGCTCTGGTATTTTAAGGAAATCTTAGAGAAAGTGTGTATGATAGTCTGGAATTGTTTCAGTTAAGGGTATTACTTAGGGTCCTGGTGCTGTCTCTGCCTCAGCCATGTATCTGGCTTTGAATTTCGTATCAATACTACCTCATCTTAAGCAACAGATAAAATGAATGCTCCGGTGATCGTCAATAGGTGGTTTTGATCTAGAAGGAACTTAAAGTGGAGGCTAATTGAGACTCAGTAAGAGAGACCCGGGCTAAGGAGGTAACGCTGGAGGAAAGGTATTTTCAGTTTTCAAAGAAAACATTACTACCTTCTTGAGCTGCATCTCAGGACGGTCTAATGAATTTGAAGTTGCTCATAAATAGTAAATATACTTCGCAGCTATTAAAGGATGGTATCGAAGGACAGTGCTTTGAAGCCAAAGTCAGTGTGAAGGAAACACAGAGTCCAGGGTGTGGATACTCAGAGTGAAGGCCACAGCTGGACAGAAATGAGAAAAAAACAAAAAAAACAAATGGCTGCAGCTGAGGCTCGCAGGTTGGCTGGGTTAACTCTCCTGGCCACTGTGGTCCCAGCCACCAGAAAACATCTGGACAGAGAAGGCCAGGATAACAAAGCTAGCTGAGCAAAGTTCCAGGAAGAAGGTTGGGAGCCCTGGGAGCAGAGCTGGCTGAGACAGGCGACCTGAACTGGACAAGGCCCAGAGTCTGAGTTTTAAGATATGCAGAGCTGGGCTGATCTTTCTGGGCAAGCAAAGCGGGGCTTGATGAGCTGGTGAGGTGGACATTGCTGAGCTCAGGGGTCGGGCTACCTTAGCTGAGATGACCTAAGCTGGGCTGGGGTGAGCTGAGCTGGGCTGAGCTGAGCTGAGCTGAGCTGAGCTGAGCTGGGCTGGGCTGGCCTGGGCTGGTCTGGGCTGAGCTGGGATGGGGTGAGCTGGGCTGAGCTGGACTGGGGTGAGCTGGACTGGGGTGAGCTGGGCTGGGCTTGGCTGGGCTGAGCTGGGCTGAGCTGGGCTGGGTGAGCTGAGCTGAGCTGGGCTGGGGTGAGCTGGGCTGGGTTGGGCTGAGCTGAGCTTGGCTGGGGTGAGCTAGGCTGGGCTGAGCTGAGCTGGGGTGAGCTGAGCTGAGCTGGGCTGGGGTGAGCTGGGCTGGGTTGGGCTGAGCTGAGCTTGGCTGGGGTGAGCTAGGCTGGGCTGAGCTGAGCTGGGCTAGGGTGAGCTGGGCTGGGGTGAGCTGGGCTGGAGTGAGCTGGGCTGAGCTGTGTGAGCTGGGGTGAACTAGGCTGAGCTGGGCTGGGGTGAGCTGGGCTGAGCTGAGCTGGGCTGGGGTGAACTGGGCTGAGCTGAGCTGGGGCTGAGCTGGGATGAGCTGGGATGAGCTGGGATGGGGTAAGCTGGGCTGAGCTGGGCTGTGTGAGCGGGGGTGAGCTGGGCTGGGGTAAGCTGGGCTGAGCTGAGCTGAGCTGGGCTGGGCTGAGCTGAGCTGGGGTGAACTGGGCTGAGCTGAGCTGGGGCTGAGCTGAGCTGGGATGGGGTAAGCTGGGCTGAGCTGGGCTGAGCTGGGCTGTGTGAGCTGGGGTGAGCTGGGCTGGGGT